AACATCTAAACTAACATCAATTAAAATGCAGGCAGTCCTCAATTGAACAATAAATGTGTTCGACATTTCCTTTCAAACTTCAACGAGCTTACATCAATGTGGTTCAGGATAGTGTACCTGGTGTTGGAATACAAGAAGAAGAAGATCAGCAGAATAGTATGTAACCTAGCAACAACAACAATAACCAGCAACAACCAGTAGAAATAACCCAGTAACGGATTTAAAAGGAACCAGCAGAATTCCAGCAATACCAACAACAACACAAACACCCAGTAATTGACCCCAAAATAGCTTGATAGCAACCAAATACCAATCAAAACACAAGCAGAAACACCCCTAGAATTCAGTAATCAAGAGAAAACTCGAAAATACAACTCCACAGTTAAGCTGAAGCTCTTTTCAGTCTCAATGGAATAGTACTAGTTGAACTAGGCTCACTCTTAAGACTCTTCTAGTTTTTCAGAATGTCCAATACCCTCAAGATTTTCAGAATGTTCTCCTCTTAAGGTCTGCCCAAAAGAAATGTCAGCTTAGACTCTCCACCAAAAAAGATAAAGAGAACTGATTTTTAGCTCCCAAAAACCAGCCTAAACTCTGTAAAAAAAAACTCAGAACCCCCTTCTGTCTAAAAATGACTCTATATATAACCCCCAAAACAGGTCTGCCCCCTCAACTCTCAAAAGCACTTTAGGTAGAATTTTTAAACTAATTCTGCCCATCATCTCTAAAACCCCACTATATTATGTTTTCCCTCTTTTTAATTCATTTGTTCCCCACTACCCTTGTCTTTTCTTTATTTAAATTCAAATAGGTATGGGCACCTATTTCTTAATCCATTTCTTTTAAACCTTCCCCCACCATTATGTTTTGTTCCCCATTAGCACTAAACAATTGCATTAGTTTAATGGTACTTTAGTACCCTACTGTCAGCCCACTCATCTTAAGCCATTTTCAGACCTTTTAAACCCCAAAATACCCTCCTAAAGCCCCTGAAATTATTGTCCTACCCAATCCCTTTAACTGGTAACAACCCCAAACAGCTATAACCAATTTAAACTATCAAATTCCTAACAACTGACTCCTAACTCAACTGGACAGATTACAAAACTTCATATTTTGAAAACCAATAGACTCCCTGATAACCAACTAGACAAGTAATCAACAACATGAATTGCAAACAAAGGGAATCACACACTATAGAATAAGTTTTAATTCACTACAATTGGCTAAACCCAACTACTATCAACATGTGACTGCAATTAGAGACGAGGCAAAGCAAGTGTCATGAAATGAAACCTGATTAGTAACACGAGTCTAGGCTCAGACAATCATGAACCATTTCCTAAGAATTAGGTCTATTGTACAGGCTAACATTACTGATTAAGGGATCATAATGACAACATAATCGGTAGCCTGAACTTGAACAAACTAAACAGACACAAATTAAACCAGTTCTTGAGAAATTCAACTCGCAAACTGACCCAAGTTCGGACCTTAGACTACTGACCATGATTTAAACGGGAAATTCATGCCAATTTATAGAAGGGGAAGGGACAAAGTAAAAAACGGAACTGCAAGAGTGAACAATCAAAACTGGGTGTAAAAGACTTACCCGAATCATAATTCGATAAAAAACTCGAGGCTCTTCCCATTTTCAAGCCGAGAGGGACTTTAATCATGTGTTTTCGAAGGAAAACAACATGGCTAAAGTCAGTCTCTGGCTCAAAATTCATGGAACCTGGCCTGCCTAACTTCGATCTGGAATCCGAGCTACCTCACGATGATTTGAAAAGAGTCGATCAGGGATTCATAGTGAGGGGGGTCCAGGAGATCACAGGGTGTGAATTTAGTGGCATTTGAACGGATTAGGGTTTGGGTCGATTCTTTTGATTTAAGATTCGAGGAGCTCGGGGGTGATTCGAAGCAAACTGAGCGTGGGACTGGAACGAGGAAGTCTTGGGAAAGCTGTGGTGTGAAACTGGAGGCTATGGACGAGATAGGGTTCCGGCCTGATTTTCAATCTAATATTCGAAGCACACGGCTGGGATTTGAGGGCTAAGAGTTAGGGATTCGGAATGGGGAGGTCGAGGGGAATCAGTGGTGAAAAGATGGGGTCATTTGGACCACGGGAACCGCCGTGAGGCGATTTTCGGTGGGCGGTGGGCGGTGGCAAAAGGCAGGGGGATCTGTTTGGTATCTGAAGCTCAGAGACGAAGAGGTGAGGGGGGTTTGGTTTAGGGGGCGGTGTAGGATTTAGGAATATATACCATGTGGGGAATTTAATCCCGACCGCTAGATCAATTAAGATCAACGGCCAGGATCAAAGAGATTAACCCAACGACGTCGTTTGGTTTAAGTAGGGGGTCGGTTTGAACCGGGTAACAGGTCGGTCCAGGGAATGGGTAAGGATGGGGTGATCTGGACCGTTGGATCAAGTCGTATCAGCGGCCCAGATTCTTCATGCCCGAACGGCATCGTTCCACCCGCCTTCAAGACTGGTTGAATTGGACCGGGTAAAAGGGTATTTGGACTGGGCCTGAACTTTCTTTTAAAATTGGCCCAGTCCGATTTTCTTCCCTTGTTTGCTTCTTTATTCTTCTATTTGCTTTTTAATTCCTAAAAACCAAAATTCCTAATTAAATTATAAAATTGCCAATTAACTAAGACATTAACTCTTAATAATAGCTATCACACGAAATTAAACATCAAATAAAGATAAAATCACACAATTCGGACATTAAATGCAAAAATGCAAAGTACATATATCTTTTCCATTTTGTAAAACAAACTTGATAGTTTAATTAATTCCTAAAGTGTAAAATTAAATCCTAAATGCACATGCAACACATATTTTTGTATTTTTCTAAATTAAAGTAGAAATAAATATTCACAGATAAAATACAAAAAAATCACAAACAATACCAAAACCATTTTATTTTGAATTTTTGGGAGTAATTCTTATAGGGCAAAAATCACGTGCTCACAGATACGGGCGAAAAATAAAAAAAAAACTAATTTAGAGAAAATATTTTTTGTCTTTTCCTTGAAAATGAAGAAACATGCAAAATCTTTCTGGATTTTCTTTTTCCTCTTTTTTTTTTATTTTGATTTTTTTTTTGCAAACTCTTTTTTTGAATTTTTTTTTCATTTTCAATTTTTGGTCTTTTCTCGAAAAAGCATGAAAGAAAATTATAATTGGGCCCTTCTTGCTTTATTTTCACACGTCACCCTCTTTTCTTTCTCGTTTACCCTCAACCATCATTGGTCCGCCAAATGACCTTTTTATTCTTGAAGAAATGCAACATGTAGCACATAAGATGCATCAGGATGGTCTTTTCTTATTTGGATACACCTGTCCTAGACGGACACAACCCCCATGTTAAGTCCCCAAAGTCAAATGCACGTGATGCAAACAAACGTTGCTACTAGGGATCCGACATGAGGCTATGTTATTCTAGGTTTAAAACCCTGGATTTATTTGTTCTAGACCTGGCTTAGCCGAGAGGACAGCTCGAACCGAGGGGAGCTAGCATACCGAGAATACAGAAGCTTCACCGGCTTTGCAACTTGTCCGAACCTCGTTCTAAAATTAGGATATGATTCTAATAGAAGAGAAGATACACGAAGTGCACCCTTCCCAGATGATTTAGAAGACTCAGAGAGAGAAGGGATTCGTAACAATTTATATACAGTCCAAACAATATCAAAGCGGTAAAAAGCGACAATTAGTACATTAGGCTCAAACATATAAAAATCAAGATAATAAATAAAAGCCAACTAGAACAGTTATTCTAAGCTCGAATTCTGAACCCTGAACCAGAGATTCTAGGTTCTTATCCCCACCAGAGTCGCCAGAGCTATCACACCTCCTTTTTCTACCCCGGAAGGAGGTATAAGAGAGTTTTTTCCAATTTAAGTGACAATCGAAACATGATTATTTAATTATTTTGAGTCGTCACTTGGGATAATTTAGGGTGTCCTAAGTCACTGAGTTAAATCCCGAACCGAGGAAGTTTGACTCTATTTATGGTCCGTGAAACATAGAAATCCGGGTAAGGAATTCTGTTAACCCGAGAGAAGGTGTTAGGCATTTTCGGGTTCTGTGGTTCTAGTACGGTCGCTCAACTATTAATATTGGCTCAATTATCTGATTTAATTACACATTTTTAACCTACGTGCATTTTTTAAATTTTTAACCGCTTTTAGTATTTGTGGAATTTATTTTCGGAACAAGGCACAATTGTCATACACTTGACATTTTGGTACACGTTGCAAACCGCGCTACATGAAATGTATCCGCGATTTACGACATATTTATTTTATTATTATTCGAAGTTACTGTCGGGTCACATGAAATGCACACCCAATTGGGGATTAGGTATCACGACCATGCTACGGAAACCGTACCCATAGTCGTGATGATTTATTTATTAATCGCGCCTAAAGAAAGCTACAATATTTATGAATTATTTTCCTACTTTGAGATTATTTCCAAGCCATAAGTAGAATACTTCTTGTTAAGCACGTATCCATAAATCCCAAATATAATTCAAGCTTTTTGCATCAATAGTATGCTCCATCCTTAACAGTTATTTCAACACAAAAAGAAAGAGGTTCACAAAGTTGAATCGACATGGGAAAGGTGAGTTGGCCCTAAGAATTTCGGACTCGGAAATTAGGCAGAAGAAAATAAATACATGAGGAATCTACTAGACTGTAACAAGGAAAATTTCATGAAATTGACAATTAGTATTTTACAACAGAGAAAGAAAAGATATATACATCAATTTGGGCACAAAATTTAGAAATGATATCCTACAAATTTTTCAAGCTCCAAATCCACCGGTACTTGTTTTAATACTCAAACCACCAATAAATCTATTAATTTAATTTTCCTATTAACAAAGCTATTAATTTTCCTATCAAACCACCAGTACTTGTTTTAATTTTCCAACAAAGCTGAAATCTCACTTTAGCTATTACATTTACCCAACAACATAGAATCAAACGGCAAGAAAGTGATAATCAAGAGAACAAAAATCATCCAATTTAAATATTAAAAACAAATGGAAAGGGAGGAGGCAAGAATGGAACCTTTGTGAGCAAAACTTTCGGTTACACAATGCCAGCCACGGATGAATTGCAAAAGAAAATCGCCGACCAAATTGAACCCAAGAATCTATCCGAGGCGGAGACCGTGTCGACGACCACGACCAATTCGACGAAAAGTGAGCAAAAATCTGATTCAAGGGTCGTTGGCAACTGTTGCAATGAGTGTCTGGAGTTGGAATATGAGAGAGATCGGAGGATAAAGAAGTCAGGTGATCACAGTGGCTTAGGGGCTCAACCCAACCAGATTCAAGCCCATAGAGCATCAGTATCTCATCTTCTGCATCAACGGGAAACGAAGTCGATGAAGAAGCTTCATTAGCCATGGATCAAACTAATTTATTCCTCTCGGATCCCACACATTTACGCGAATGAATTAACAGAAGCTTAATCTCAAACTAATTGGGATAAGCTGTATAAATCATTTATAACAATTCTACACTATTTCTATTTGGGCCTATTCATTCCATTACTGAAAAAAATTTGCCTCAAATTTGGGATTTTTAAGTTTAATACCAGAAAAAGTGCATAAATCAATTGAGAAGGGGATTAAGGATTTTGATTCACAAGAGATGGGAAGATGGACAGATTTTTGTTTGTCTTTTATTGTGAAAAACGGTTGATAGTCCAAGTCTAGGGATCTATTTTTGTATTTTTCGCTGATCTCAGGTCTCTAGCGTTAGGTTTTTTTGTTTTTCAGGAAGAGGAAGAAAAAGCTGAAGCGTTGGAGATTTGTGTGTTGTAAAGGTGCTGAAGGTTAGGGTGGGGATGGGGTTGTTTTGGTCAGAAATGCTGCTAATGGGTGTGTGTTCTTGCTAGGATTTTTTGTGTTAACCCCTCATGAAGAAGATGAAGTAAAGTTAACTTTTATCTAGGTTCTCCAAATGAAAAAGAACAGCTCCTGTGCTAAAGTCTAGGTCTAGGTTTTTATAGGTTTTTTTTAGGTTAAGGGGTATGGGCCTGAGAATTATGGGCTAGATCCAAAAATTAGGCCTAAAAATGGATCATTTGAGCCCAAATTTTATTCTTTCCCCGCGAACAAGACTAAAAATACGATCTCATTTACTAATTAATCCTACTTAAGTAAAATAACTATTAAAATAAGACTGACCGTTAAAACAAAACTATTTTTGGTATTTTTCAAGATTAAAAATGACTAGAAAATATTAATGAAAATATTTTTTGTAATTTTTATTTTGTTGTAATAAAATAAATTAAAAGAGTCAAAATTAGTTGAAATAGCGATATTAGACCTAAATTAAATATTTACATGCTAAAATATAAAAATTCTTGGGGAGGGTCAAAAATCACATGTCTACAGTGTCAATATCAAATACATGGACATCTAGTATATTCAGAAATCAGGATCTACAAAATGTATTGCACATTCCTGACTTCAAGTTTAACCTCTTGTCTGTGTCAAAATTTACAAAGGAACTGAAGTGTTGTGTGGCATTCTTTCCTGATTTTTGCCTCTTCCAAGACCTCTTCAATGGCCAGGTGAGGGGGATTGGTAGAGAAGACTGTGGACTGTACTATCTGAAGCCATTTCCAACTCCTACAACATCACCTACACAACTATAACTACAAGGGTCTGATAGTAAAGAAGTTTGCTATTCTGTCTCTGCTAATGTGCCACTATCTGTATGGCATAATAGAATAAGGCATGCCCCTTTAAACTTGCTCAAAAAAATAGATTGTTTAAAGCAGTGTAAACTAGACAAAAATCATCATTGTATTGTATGTTCACTAGGAAAACAGTCTAGACTTTCATTTCCTATCAACACTACTAGTTCAAATAAACCTTTCAGCTAGTACATGGTGATTTATGGGGTCCTTATAGAGTACCTACACATGATGGTAAGAGATATTTCCTAACATTGGTGGATGACTTCTCTAGGTATACTTGGATATTCCTGTTGAATAATAAAGCTGAATCTTTGGTCATTGTGAAGCAGTTTCTAGTTTTAGTGAAGAATATGTTCAATTCTAATGTTCAAACATTAAGAACATACAATGGCTGTGAATTCTTTAACTCTCAATTTGATGAGTTGATTAAAGAAAATGGTATTATACACCAGAGTTCTTGTGCTTATACACCTCAGCAAAATGGTGTAGTAGAGAGGAAGCACTAATCCATTCTGAATGTAGCCAGATCCTTAAGGTTTCAAGGAGTTGTGCCTCTGAAGTTCTAGGGAGAATGTGTTGCTATTGCTGTTTATCTGCTAAACAGGTTACCTTCTGTCATCTTACGGTATAAATCTTCTTTTGAAATGTCACATTCACATCCTCCTAATCTTGATCATTTAAGAGCCTTTGGTTATCTTACATATGCATCAAACCACAATATCACTGATAAAATGTCACCTAGAGCCATTCCTGTTGCATTAATGGGATATTCCTCTACTCAAAAAGGGTACAAACTCTATGATCTACATGCTAAGTCATTCTTTGTGAGTAGAAATGTGGTATTTAGAGAAGACTTATTCCCTTTTAGACACTTCACTCCTTCTACTCTTCCCTTGTTTCCAGTACTAGAACTTACACCTGACCTACCAAGAAATATTCCAAACACCACTGCTAACAACACATCAACTTCTCAAACCATACAAGAAGACTTAATCATAGAAAACCCTGCTTCTTTAAATCTATACACCAATATAGATCATTCATTACATCCAGTCACACCTAACATCATAGTAACTGATGAATCTAGCATCAGTCCAATACCTATCACTGAACTTCAACAATCTGAAACACTTAGAAAATCCTCTAGAGCTGTCAAACAACCTCTGTGGATGCAATACCTTGTCACTACTAAACAATCCAATTGTGCCTACCCTTTGTCATCCTATATATGTTATGAATATCTGACCTCATCTTATAAAACTGCCTTAAACTCCTACTCATCTATTGTGGAGCCTGATAGTTACAAAGAAGCAGCTACAGATCCAATGTGAATGAAGCCATGAAACTGGAGATTGCAGCACTAAAAGACAACAACACTTGGAGCATTATTGATCTTCTTGAGGGAAAGACTCATATTGGTTGCAAGTGGGTGTTCAAGGTCAAATACAAATCATCAGGAGAAGTGAAGTGGTATAAGGAAAGATTGGTAGCCAAGGTTTATAGTCAACAAGCAGGATTAGACTACAAAGAAACCTTCTCACTAGTAGCCAAAATGGTTACTGTCAAATCAGTGGTAGTTGTGGCAGCTTCAAGACATTGGTTCATCTATCAAATGGATGTTCACAATGCCTTCTTGCAAGGAGATCTTTTGGAGGAAGTCTATATGACTATTCCATATTTGTTTGCTAGACAAGGGGAGACCAAACAATTCTGCAAACTACAAAAATCACCGTATGGTCTGAAACAAGCACCAAGGCAGTGGAATCTCAAGCTGATTGAAGCACTGCATCAACTGAATTTGTTCAAAGCCACTTTGACTACTCACTTTTCACATAACAACTAGGAGGTGACATAGTTATGATTCTTATATATGTGGATGATCTGATCATTAAAGGAAGCAACAATGATCTATTGGTCAAAACTAGGAAGGATCTTCAGAAAAAGTTCAAGATGAAAGACCTAGGGGAACTAAAAAATTTCTTAGGAATTGAATTTGCCAAGTCAAACAAAGGAATACATATGTGTCAAAGGAAGTATTCCTTAGAGTTGATCTGTGAACTTGGCCTGGGAGGAGCAAAAATAGCTGGAACTCCCTTGGAGTGCAATCAGAAACTTACTTCAATTGAATACGATAAAACATTCAACAAATGTGCAGGTCATGAAGATCCTATACTAGATGATGCTGGAGAATACCAAAGGCTTGTAGGGAGACTCTTATAATTGACCATGACCAGACCAGATATCTCATTTGAAGTACAGGCGCTAAGTCAGTATATGCATGCTCCAAAACAATCCCACATGGAGGTTGCCCTAAGGATTGTTAGATATCTGAAAGCATCACCGGGTCTGGAACTCCTAATGCCATCAACAGAAACTAAACAACTACAAGCCTTCTTTGATTCTGATTGGGGCTCCTGTCTGCAGACCAGAAAATCTGGCACAGGATATCTTGTAAAATTTGGAGAGGCTTTGGTGTCTTGAAAATCCAAGAAACAAGAGACTATGGCCAGAAATTCAGCTGAAGCTGAGTTCAGAAGCATGGCATCCTGTGTAGCTAAAGTTACATGGCTAATAGGGTTGTTCAGGGAACTTGGAATTGAAATGCAACAGCCTGTTGATTTGTTCTGTGATAGCAAAGTTGCTATCCAAATAATGGGTAATCCTATATTTCATGAACGAACCAAACAAATAGACATTGACTGTCATTTTGTAAGGAAAAGCTGAGTCAAGGAGTAATCACAACTCATCATATCTCAACAAAGGATCAACTAGCAGATCTACTAACCAAGAGCATTGGAAAAGCACAACATGAAGCCCTGTTGAATCAACTTGGTATTGAGAATATATTCAAAGCATTAGCTTAAGGGGGAGTGTTGAGAGTATAAACTGATATTTATTAGTTGGATAGTTAGTTAATACAATAGTTATTTATGTAATCATAGTTAGTTAGTAAAGTTAGTTAGATGGTGTATATATAGGACCTATTACTCACTACTGTAGCATGCATAAGAAATGAGAATAAGTTAATTTCTCTCCAAGTCTTCTTTTGTTTGTTTCCTCTCATCAATCTCTCTATCTCATTGATAAAATTGACAAGACGTAGTCACACTTGGCGTGCCGCTCGATACCTTCTCGATGAAGGCAGAGAGAACAAATAGCCGAAATCGAAAAGGTTAAAAAAGTAGAGAAGAACAAGCAATGGAAAAAGCTCAACGGGAAGAGACATTACAATTGTTAGCTAGAGAACGGGACCGAGCCGATTTTCAGGACTAGGAGAAGAAAGTAGAAGAATTTCATTTCGATCAGAGTAAAGTTCGAACTGAAATTCGCCTACGTCAAGGTCGTGTTAAGCCCATTGATGTACTTATAAAGTAGTTAGAAGAAATAGATGTGGAAATAGATGAACCTTCTTATGTAGTGTTTAAAGGATTAGGTATAAAAGAAATGGAGGAACTTGAAGAGGATATAAAATTGCATATCGATTTAGATAGGGAAACACCAATGAATATATAGTATTGGGAAGCGCTTTTGGTGGTGTGTAATTGGGAATTAGCTGAAGCTAGGAAAAGTGAAGTAATGGATAAAGCGCGAGTGCGGGGAGAGGAATTACCGCCTGTGTTGCTTGTAGAAGAGAAGGGCTTGCAGATGTTAAGTCTTTGTTACAAGGTAAATGGTATGGTGAGTTAGAGGCAATGTAGTCGCAAATTGAGTCCCAAATGTGATCTGGTGCCGCAAAAGTGGTGGTATATTGGGAAGCTATTCTTAAACAGCTTCACATCTTTAAGGCTAAGGCTTGTTTGAGAGAAATTCATGTGAAATTGTTAGTTTGATAGTTAAAATAGTAGTAAATAACCCTAATCCCATATGTATTAGGAGTAGGACATGTATTATATATATAGGGCTCATTGTATCATTGTTAATATTAATAAATAATACTTTCTCCCATGCATTCTCACATGGTATCAAAGCATTAGTGAGAAAAGATCGATGTGCGTCATTCCAGCGACATCCGAGAAGAAATAATTCAGTTACCGTGCAATTTTCCGGTGACCTAAGTGACTGATTTGCTTCTTCTTATGTTTGGTGAGTGTTGTGCACAAACCATCACCACTATTAGATTCAGAAACCTCCGGCGACCAAACCCCCAAAAGACTCTCCGGCAACAAACGCCCCACACGCCTCCACGCGCTACCCAGATCTGTGATTCCGCCGACCCATCTGTCCCACGCGCCGGTGCGTGTGTGCTTCTATGGCTATT